ATTCAGGAGGAAACCATGGAAACCATTTAGTTATGGCTAGTTCCTTTTTCAGTTCAGCACTCATGTTGATAGGCACTTCGTTAAATATAAAGGGGGCAATAAGAATTTAAGCTCTTAGGATGTTAATAGTCTTATGCTGTAGTTAAAATTTAGGTTACTATCTCTTTAAAAAGAAACTTCATTAAGGTTTAACTTACATACCATACAGTTCATTCATTTTAAGTACACCATTCAAAGATGTTTAGTAAATGTACGGACTTTTGCTGCTGTTTCCATCACCCCCAAAAGATCTGATATGCCCATTTGCAGTGACTTCTCCCATCCTGCCCCAGAAAACCAGTAATCTGCTTTCCATCTTTATATATTTGCCTTTTCTGGATATTTCTTATAAATGAAATTATGTAAGTTGTCTTTTGCCGGGTGCGGTGGCTCAAGCCTGTAATCCCACCACTTTGGGAGCCTGAGGTGGGTGGATCACAAGGTCAGGAGCTTGAGACCAGCCTGGCCAACATAGTGAATCGCTGCCTCTACTCAAAATATAAAAATTAGCTGGGCTTGGTGGTGCATGCCTGTAATTCCAGCTACTTGGGAGGCTAAGGCAGGAGAATCGCTTGAAACTGGGAGGCAGATGTTGCAGTCAGCCAAAATCATGCCACTGCACTCCTCCCTGGGCAACAGAGTGTGACTCTGTCTCAAAACAAAAAAAAAGTGGTCTTTTGTGTGTTGTTTTTTTCACTTAGCATATTTTTGAGTTCTAGCCATGTGTAGTATGTGTCAGTACTTCATTCTGTTTTTATTGCTGAAGAGTGTATTCTGTAGTGTGGATATATGAACCACAGTTTGTTTATCCACTCACCAACTAACGGTTACTTGGATTATATTCACACTTTTTTGGCGGTTTTGAATAGTGTTGCTGTGAATATTCATGTACAAGTCTTTGTGTAAACATATCTTTTTATCTCTTTTTGGATAGAGACCTAGGAGTAGATTTCTAGTCATATGTCAAATTTATGTTTGTTAAGAAACTACTAAAATAGCTGTACCGTTTTACATTTTCTCCATCAGTGTGTCAGGGTTCAGTTTTTTCTCATCCTTGCCAACACTTGACATTTTTTGTTTTTTTATCATAGCCATTCCTATAGGTGTGAAGTGCTGTCATTGTGGTTTAATATGCATTTCCCTAATGAGTAATGATGTTGAACATTGTTTCATGTGCTTATTGACTATTCATGATATTACTTTTTTTAAAAATTCATGTATATTCCTTGGTGAAGTGTCTATTCAAATTTTTTTGCCTATTTAAAAAAACCGAGGTATCTTTTCTCTACCTGTCGATTTAAGAATTCTTTATATATTGTGGGTACCATCCTTTGATCTGATACACATTTGCAAATATTTTCTTTTTTTTTAATTGCGTATTAGGTTTTGGGGTACATGTGAAGAACATGCAAGATTGCTGCATAGGTACACACATAACATTTGCAAATACTTTCTTCAAGTACTTGCCATTTTGTCTTCTTAACAGTATGTTTTTATGTGCAAAAGTTTTTAATTTTGATGAAGTCCAACTTGCCAGTTTTTTTTCTTTTTTCTTTTTTTTTTGAGATGGAGTTTCACTCTTGTTGCCCAGGCTGGAGTGCAATGGCACGGTTTTGACTCGCTACAACCTCTGCCTTCTGGGTTCAAGTGATTTTCCTGCCTCAGCCTCCCTAGTAGCTGGAAGTACAGGCAGCTGCCACCATGCCTACGTAATTTTTTGTATTTTTAGTAGAGATGGGGTTTCACTATGTTTGCCAGGCTGGTCTTGAACTCCTGATCTCAGGTGATCCACCTGCCTCAGCCTCCCAAAATGCTGTGATTCTAGGTGTGAGCCATCATGCCTGGCTCACCAATTTTGTTTTCTTTCATTATTTATATTCTTGGTGTTGTATCTAAGAAATCTTTGCCTGACACAGGTCATAAAAACTTACTTCTGTGTTTTCCTCTAAGAGTTTTGTAGTTTTAGCTCCTATATTTAGGTCTATAGTATGTTAGAGTTGATTTTTTGTGTAGGGGTTAGCATAAGGATCAAACTTTGTCATTTTGTGCATTCTTATGGAGTTGTCCCATTGTCATTTCTTGAAATAATGATCTTTTCCCCCATTGACTTGCATTGCACCCTTGTTGAATATCAGTAGACCATAAATGAAAGAGTTTATTTGTGGAGTCTCAATTTGACTTCTGTGTGTATCTTTATGCCTATCATTCTCTTGAGTGCTGTAGCGTTGTAATTAAGGTTTGAGATTGAGAAATGTAAGTCCTTCAACTTCGTTCTTTTTTATTTCAAGACTTGTTATGTTTTTTCTGGATCCTTGGATCCTTTGCCTTTCTGTATAAATTTTAGGATCAGTTTTTCAATATCTGCAAAAAAACCTGCTGGGATTTCCATAGGGATTGAATTGAATCTGTAAATCAGTTTGGGGAAGAATTGCTATCTTAACAATATTAAGTCTTCCAGTCAATGAATGGATTGGCTTAAAAAAATTATTTTTGTAGAGACGGGATCTTGCTGTGTTGCCCATGCTGGTCTCAAACTCCTGGCGTCAAGCCGGTTTCCCAAAGTGTTGGGATTATAGGTATGAGCCATTGCACCCAGCGGTTATTTTATTCTGATTCGATTTCGCTTACAAATGAAATTGTTTTCTTAGATTTTTTCAGATTGTTCTTTTCTGGTATACATATAAACAGGAGTTTTGTTTGTTTGTTTGTTTGTTTTGGAGATAGTCTTGCTCTTTCGCCAGGCTGGAGTACAGTGGCGCGATCTCGGCTCACTGCAACCTCTGCCTCCTGGCTTCAGCTTCAAGCAATTCTCCTGCCTCAGCCTCCCAAGTAGCTGGGACTACAGGTGCATGCCACCATGCCTAGCTAATTTTTGTACTTTAGTAGAGACAGGGTTTCACTCTGTTGGTCAGGATGGTCTCTATCTCTTGACCTTGTGATCCGCCTGCCTCGGCCTCCCAAAGTCCTAGGACCACAGGCGTGAGCCACCACTCCCGGCCCATCAGGAGTTTTTTTATACATTGACCTCGTATTCTGTAACCTTACTGAATTTGTTTTTTATTTCTAACAGTTTTTTGTGTGGTTTCCCTAGTATTTTCTAGATCAAGATTATGTTATCTGAGAATAAGAACAGTTTGTTTTTCCGTCCGTCCTTCTGTCTGTCTGTTTTTTTTTCTTTCCAGTATGAACTTTATTTTTTTGCCTGTCTGAACTGGCTGTATGTTGAATAGTAAAAGTAGCTATCTTTGCCTTTTTCCTGATCTTAAGGGCAAAGCGTTCAGTCCTTCACTCTTATGCAAGATATTACTGCAGGTATTTGCATGTGCCCTTTCCAGTTGAAGAAGTTCCCCTCTAATTTTAGTTTGTTGAGAGGTGGTTTTTTGTTTGTTTTCTTTTGAGACAGGGTCTTACTCTCTTGCCCAGGCTGTAGTATAGTGGCGTGATAATGACTCACTGCAGCCTCGAAACTCCCTGGCTCAGGCAAGCCTCAGCTTCCCAAGTAGCTGGAACTACAAGCACATGCACACTTGGCTAATTAAAACTTTTTTTTGGGTAGAGATGGAGTTTTACTGTGTTGCCTTAGTGGGTCTCAAACTCCTTGGTTCAAGGGATTCATCCCCCTTAGCCTCCCAAAGTGCTGGGATTATAGGCATAAGCTACCGCATCTGACTGTGAGAGTTTTTAAGTCATAAATGGGTATTGGATGTTATCTGGTGCTTTTTCTGTATCTTATGAGATGATCATGTTGTTCTTGCCCTTTAGTCTACTAATATAGTATATAACATTAATTGATATTTAGATGTTAAAACAACCTTGCATTTATTCCTGGAATAAATCCTTGGTTATGGTGTATAATCATTTTTATTTGTGGTAGTATTCAATTTGCTGGTGTTTGGTCCAGGATTTTTGCCTCTCTCTTCCTGAGGGACTTGATCTGTAGTTTCTTTTCCTCTGGTGCCTCTCAGGGTAATTCTGGTCTCCTTAAACGATTTGTGAAGTGCTTCCTTTTTACCTATTTTCTGAAAGAGTTTGTGGAATTTGGTTACTATTTTTTTAAATGTTTCGTAGAATTCACTAGTGAAGCCATTTGGGCTTCAGCTTTCGTGTTTGGAAAGCTCTTTGTAAGAGTTTTTTCTTTTCAGTTTATTCAGATTTTCTATTTCTTTTTGAGTTAATTTTGGTACTTTGTGCCTTTTTAGGAGTTTATTCATTTCATCATTTACATCGTCTAAGGTTTTTCAAAGTATTCCTTTATAATCCTATTGATTTCTGTAAAGTCAGTAGTGATATCCCCTCTTTCTTTCTTGTTTTGAGACGGAGTCTTGCTCTGTTGCCCAGGCTGGAGTGCAGTGGCACGATCTCAGCTCATTGCAACCTCTGCCTCTTGGGTTCAAGTGATTCTCCTGTCTCAGCCTCCATAGTAACTGGGATTACAGTCACGTGTCACCTTGCCCGGCTGATTTTTTTAGTAGAGACAGAGTTTTGCCATGTTGGCCAGGCTAGTCTTGAAATCCTAACCACAGGTAATTCCGTCCAAAGTGCGGATTACAGGACTGAGCCACTGCACCTTGGTGCCCTCTTTCATTTCTGATTTTAGGAAATTGTGCTTTCTCCATTTTTTTCTTGATCAGACTAGCTAAAGGGTCATCATTTTTTTGATCTTTTCAAAGAACCAACCTTTGGTTTCATTGGTTTTTCTGTTTTTTTTTAATTTTTTAAATTTTGTCTATTTCCACATCAGTATTTATTATTTCCTTCTGCTTGCTTTGCGTTTAGTGTACTCTTAACGTTATTATCTGTTAAACAATGTCACTGGAACTTAATTCACAGCTGAAATTATTTTAGCTACTTCATAATATAGCAATAATTTTTATTGATGTTATTTTTTTTACATGTCCTTCAAGCTGCTTTGATAACTGATTTTAAAACAGAGCTTTTTAAAAAAAATCAGAGTAGGCCTATCATTCTTATACAGTAGGTTTATTTGTCATTCCATTGAAATTTACATAGAATTAACTCATCGTAAACAAAATGTAAAAACCGTTTTAAACATTAACACAACCACTCTTAGGCTTAAGCCACTTGAACCTTTGATCTGCTCAAGAATGTCTTTGCATTTTGTAGGTTAGGCTACAGGTATTGAATAGTGAATTTCATCTTCCACACCAACAGCAGGTCCCATTCAACAGCAGGAAGAGCCTTTGTAGCGCTTTACTTCTCTTTGGTTGGCCAGCGTTATCCCTGATAGTCAGAATAGGATAAACTGTGTTGTGGTAACAATCCCAAAGTTTCAGTGTCTTAAAACAACAAAAGCTTGTTTCTCTTTTGTGATACATGTTTATCATGGGCTGGCAGGAATCTTAGCTAGTTATAGTCGCTCAAGGACCTGGGCTGACATAGCAAGTGGTAGCTCAAATGCTTGTGAGTTCAGTGCTAGCTGGAAAACAACTCTGGAAGAGCTTGCGCTAGCAGTTAAGTGCTGTGGCCTGGAGGTGACACATATCACTTCCTCTCACAGCTCATTGACCAGAGTTAGTCACAAGTCACTCATTGGCCAGAGTTATATTCCCAACCATAGGGGGCTCCAAAGTGCATGCTTTTCTTAATGAAGAGAGCTAGAAATATTGGGTGGAAACACTAAAGGCTACTCTAGTTCAGGCCACTGTCATTGGATTACTAAACCAGGTCTCCTGGTTTAACTTCTTTCCTGTTCATTCTTCATACAGCAGTGATTTTTCTCATTAGATCATGTTGCTTTCTGCTCAAGCTGATCATTATTGTTTTTCAGATAAAGTCATGTTTTTATTGCAGCCTATGTTATGTGCCTGCCTGATAGGGCCTCTAATTATCTCTTAGGCCTAGTATCATCCTGTTTTCCTTGTACTCTGTCCTAGTGATACTGACTTGTAGCTCCTCCAATATGCTTTATTCTCTCATGCCTCTTTTACTCATACTGTTTTCTCTTCCTGGAATATTCTTTCTTGCCTCCTACTCTTTCTTTTGGTTCTGTCCTGTTCTTTTAAGTTTCAGCTTAAAAGTCATATTATTCTCATTCTCCAGTGTGAATTCAGTGTATAACCTTTGAGTTCTTATAACACTCACTCTTTCTGATGGAGCTCCCAATGTACTCCATTGTAATGACATGATTCCTTGTTTGCCACTCTGCCCTCAGTATCTGGCCTAATCGCTGACATGTAGTAAGTACTCAATAAATATTTGTTAAATGTCGAAATAAATTACATGACAGGGTGTGGGAGAAAGTTGATAGTATACACTGTTAAAAAATAGTTTTTTTTTTTTTTTTTGAGATGGAGTCTCACTTTTGTCACCCACGCTGGAGTACAATGGTGCGGTCTCAGCTCACTGTAGCCTCCGCCTCATGGGTTCAAGCAGTTCTCCTCTCAGCCTCCCAAGTATGTGGGACTACAGGTGCCTGTCACCATGCCTGGCTAATTTTTGTGTTTTTAGTAAAGACAGAATTTCACCTGTCTCTGTCATATTGGTCAGGCTGGTCTTGAACTCCTGACCTTCAGGTGGTCCACCTGCTTTGGCCTTCCAAGGGGCTGGGATTACAGGTATGAGCCACTGCTAGGCCAGAAATTATGGTTATTAAAGGACCTGTATACTTCCCATCTATTGCCAAGAATCCAGCATTTGTGAAAATGTATGTGGTTTTAACAGTGCTCAGTTCTTGGTTACCAAAGTATTTTATATACCGAAGCTTCACGAGTCCTTTTAAATATAAAAAATAACTTTGTGGAAGAGTGGTTTCAAATTGGCAATTAAGATTCTTTTCTTTTTTGAGACGGAATTTCATTCTTGTTCAGACTGGAGTGCAATGGCGCAATCTTGGCTTACTGCAACCTCTGCCTCCCGGGTTTAAGTGATTCTCCTGCCTCAGCCTCCCGAGTAGCTGGGATTACAGGTATCCCACCCCTATGTTTGGCTAATTATTTTTGTATTTTTAGTAGAGATGGGGTTTCACCATCTCAACCAGGCTGGTCTCAAACTCCTGACCTCAGGTGATCCACCTGCCTTGGCCTCCCAAAGTGCAGGGATTACAGGTGTAAGCCACTACGCCTGGCCAAGATTCTTTAAATTGAAAATAACAGATTTCCTCTCTTTACCACAGTCATTTATTGCACATAAAAAAATTCCATCAGTAGTGGAGATTTTAAAAAAACAAGCCTTTTATAATACCTAGGGCTTTTTTTGGTCCCCATAGCCCTCTTAATATACCAGCTATTCTAATTCTCCATGTTTGTTTTCAGACCTTACTGATATGTGTATTAATTTATATTATTATCAATAATTTTATTAAAACTTTTATATTCTGAGTTTATTTCTTTTTTTCTGGGAGGGGACAGAGTCTGTCTGTGTCACCCAGGCTGGAGTGCAGTGGTGTCATCTTGGCTCACTGCAACCTCTGCCTCCCAGGTTCAAGTGATTTTGCTGCCTCAGCCTTCCAAGTAGCTGGGACTGTAGGTGCCCGCCACTATGCACAGCTATTTTTTTTTTTTTTTTTTTTTGTATATTTAGTAAAGATGGGGTTTCATTATGTTGGCTAGTTGATCTTGAACTCCTGACATAGTGATCTGCCCACCTCGGCCTCCCCAAAGTGTTAGGATTATAAGTGTGAGCCACCGCACCTGGACCTTAGTTTTAAATATATACATTTTTTAATCGTGTCAGAATTTTCAGTGGCTATTTTTTTTTTTTTAAGATGGAGTCTTGCTCTGTCACCAGGCTGGAGTGTAGTGGCACGGTCTTGACTCACTGCAACCTCCACCTCCGGGTTTAAGCGATTTCCCTGCCTCAGCTTCCCAAGTAGCTGGGACTACAGGCATGCACCACCATGCCTGGCTAATTTTTTGTATTTTAGTAGAGTTGGGGTTTCACCATGTTGGTCAGGATGGTCTCAATCTCCTGACCTTGAGATCAGCCCGCCTCGGCCTCCCCGCCTACCTCAGCCTCCTAAAGTGCTGGGATTATAGGTGTGAGCCTCTGTGCCCAGCTCCAGTTGCTTTTTAATAATCCATTAAGTTGATGTGGCATATTTAATTGAAAGCTCAGTTATGGCTGGGTATAGTGGCTCACGCCTGTAATCCCAGCACTTTGGGAGGCTGAGGTGGGCAGATCTCTAGGTCAGGAGATGGAGACCATCCTGGCCAACATGGTGAAATCCTGTTTCTACTAAAAATACAAAAATTAGCTGGGCGTGGTGGCGTGCCTGTAGTCCCAGCTACTTGGAAGGCTGTTGCAGGAGAATCGCTTGAACCCGGAGGCAGAGGTTGCAGTGAGCTGAGATTGTGCCACTGTGTTTCAGGCTAGCAACAGAATGAGACCTTGTCTCAAAAAAAAAAAAAAAAAAAAGCTTAGTTATTTCCAATTTTTTGTTATTTTGAGTAGTGCCACTGTAAAAATCTTTGTACCTTAAATTTTTACATTTGAACTAAGTGCTCAGGATATAGTCCCAGGAGTGGCATTTCTGTCTTAAGGGTAGTATAGTGGTTAAGAACATGCTTTGATTTGCTCATGGGTGATAGCTAGTGTTAAGGTCACAAAATATCTATATAGCCCTTGGAATTCCAAGAAATAAAACTACCTTGTTTCTCAGCAGGTGTTCAATGGCCTTTTTGCAGTGTTTTCTGCCTAGGTTATCTTAGCCTTTGAGAGTATGACTATGAGAGGTAAAATGAAAGAACAAACTCAGGAAATGAAGGGGTGTAGTAGTAAGTTTTAGTTTGAAAATAGACTAGGCCTTTCCTATATCATGCATTTCTTTTTCTTTTTCTTCTTTTTTTTTGAGACAGAGTCTTGGTGTCACCAGACTGGAGTGCAGTGCTGTGATTTTGGCTCACTGCAACCTCCACCTCCCAGGTTCAAGCGATTCTCTTGCCTCAGCCTCCCGAGTAGCTGGGACTACAGGCACGTGCTACCACCTCCAGCTAATTTTTGTATTTTTAGTAGAGACAGGGTTTTACCATGTTGGCTAAGATGGTCTCGATCTCTTGACCTCTTGATCCATTCACCTCGGCCTCCCAAAGTGCTGGGATTACAGGTGTGAGCCACCGCACCTGGCCTATATCATGCATTTCTAACTTAACAGTTTTGTGGGAATTTTATGCAAATATACTGTGGCATTTTTGATTATTTTGAGACTTAGTCATATCCTGTATAAAACTCAAGTCGTTAAATAGTTACGTAAGTTGTTTTCAATAAATTAGAAAATAGTACTTTTTAATAAATAGGGATTTATATATGAGTGAAAGTATTTTACTTTAGACTTAGAAACACATTTTAAATAGCATCTTCTTACCAACACACAATTTTTTGATCTACATGAATTGGTCAGTTATAAAATTATTTTAGCATCATTAGCCTTGCTTGTGTTTTCCAGCTTACCTTTTGGTGCTCAATATTGAACTCTAGGAATCTTTTATCCATTTTTTTGAAGTGTCAGCATTAAATAGCGTAAATTCACATTTGTGAAGTTTTACTGTATATTTAATGCAAAGGCTACACACACAAGCAGTGCATATTTAACTTGTTTTTCCCCTTCCACTAGAAATCTTTTAAACATTCAGTCAGAATTTGTTTTGTCGTAACAGTTGGCTTCAGAAGATTTTTTTTTTTTTCTTGGAGGAGGTTGAGCTGCTTTCAGAGATTTTGTTGATCTTCTGTCATGTTAGACCACTTCTGTTTCACGTTTTCTGATGTTGTCCATCATACTTCTAAGAGGGTTGGGTTCACTTTTCAAGTCTTTCACGGTTTTGTTTTTTACACAGCAGCAGCAGTCAAGCACTTCATAAAGGAAAGCCAGCACCACTAAAGCTACCACTGTAAATATAAATAAAAGCAGGATGACAAAGCAGGCAGTGTTCCAGTTGTCATGGAAAGGGTAAATTTTTTGAACTTGAAAACCAAGGTACTGATAAACAGAGGTAGTGGTTTCATTCCAGTGGCGGGAAGCCATTCTTAGAGATGCCACTTCTTTATATTGCTCTTTTGAATCTATAAAAAAAGGTAGAAAATGAATTTATGTAAGCAAACTACAGATCTGTTAATTCAAATCTCAGTACTAAGATTTCTTAGTAAATTTGTATAGGCAACATGACTCTTCCTTAATTAATGCCTAAATGGTAGTTTTGAATTTTTTGTATATCTGTGCCACCATACTTAGTAAACCATACCCTGTTTTTAAATGTATATTATTTGTTAGATGAACACGTATGTTTAAGATTCAGCCAGGCATGGTGGCTCATGTCTGTAATCTTAGCACTTTGGGAGACCGAGGTAGGCAGATCACTTAAGTCCAGGAGGTGAAGACCAGCCTGGGCAACATGACGAAACCCTGTCTCTACAAAACATACAAAAATTAGCCAGGCATAGTGGTGCATGCCTGTAAGTCCCAGCTATTTGGGAGGCTAAGCTGGGAAAATTGCTTGAGCCAGGGAGGTGCAGGTTGTGGTGCGCTAAGATTGTGGCACTGCACTCTAGCCTTGACAATGGGACTGAAACTGTCTCAAAAAAAAAAAAAAAAGAGTCATATACAGAAATTAACTGCTAATGGAAGGGGAAAAGGCAACTGTATTGGTTTAAAACTTGATTAAGCCATTGTCAGTGAGCTATTATCTATAAAAAACCTTGCCATTTTAAGGTTGTGTTCTTCAAATTGCCCCTGGAAAAGCTTTTATCATTAGCATGGTGGATTCTTCTTACCTTTTTGGTTCAGTGTATTTCTGTCTTCTGTTTCCCCTCCTTTAATCTTCGATGACAGGTGATCTGAATCAGGAAATAGTGACTGAGTGAAAAATAGTAGAGAAAGAAAAACAAAATGCCAGTTTTCAGAATGAGGTAATATAATTTTAGGTTAAAGTTGTCTGTGAAGGATCCTTAATCTTGGGGTTGTAGATGATAGTCTTAAATGTTTCATAAATCTAAGTGACCCATAGACAGAAATATTTTAAAAAAGACAAATTTAGCCTTCCCAAAGGTATCAGTTATTAAATTATTATTCCATTTCACAAAAGAAGCTAGTGATTTCAAGTTTCAGCATTGTGGCATTAAATTTAGACCTTGTTGACCTGATACTTGTTAGCTCTTAAATGGGTTCTGTTAGGATTAAACATTTGCTAGTATGGAACTACAGTAATAAGGAACTAAATGAGTTTTTACTGTCTCAATCGCTAACAAATATTTTAACACTTATTTTTAAAAATTATACCTGTGCACTGAGAACATTTTGGAAATTGAAGAAAAAATGTAATTCTACTTCATTAATTTATTGATTGTCATTCTGTATGCTTTCCCTTTACTACATACTTGTAAACAGGATTTTATTTTATTTATTTATTTTTTTTAGATGGAGTCTCGCTCTGTCGCCAGGCTGGAGTGCATTGGTGCAATCTTGGCTCACTGCAACCTCCACGTCCCGGGTTCAAATGATTCTCCTGCCTCAGCCACCTCAGTAGCTGGGACTGAAGGCGCGTGCCACCATGCCCGGCTAATTTTTGTATTTTTAGTAGAGATGGGGTTTCACCATGTTGGCCAGGATGGTCTTGATCTCCTGACCTCATGATCCACCTGCCTCGGCCTCCCAAAATGCTGGGATTGCAGGCGTGAGCCACCATGCCCAGCCAGGATTTTACTTTTATAACAAATGCTTATTGATTACCTAGTGCGTACCAAATACTTTTGTAAATTCTGGAGATACTTTGTGTGTGAGAGTGTTTCATTTAACAAAAACTGCAAAGTAGTATGAAACCCCATGTACTTTTTGTTTGTTTTTTTTTCTTAGTAACCATGCAGATGCAGGGCCTCAGAAGTTGGGTTAAGACTCAGAATTGCTCCTCTCCAAAGAAATCTTTAGTAAAAGGCCAGAGATTTATATGATCTGAAGAGAAATCTGAGTATCCCATGTACTTATAATGCAGTTTCATTCATCAACCCTTGGCCCATCTCTACGTCTACCCATTTATTTCCACCCCATTGATTGTTTTAAAGCAAATTCAAGACATCATTTCACCTAGAAGTATTTCAGTTTGTATCTCCCAATGGTGAGGACTCTGTTTTTAAACATAACCACAATATTATTTTCACATCCCAAACTCAAAGTTGTAACAATATAATTCCTTACATTTCTTTGTTTTCTTAATAAATTTTTAAAATTTGGGGTTGATAAAATTATGTTTTCTAAGGTTTTTGTTTTCTTAGGTTTGCTTGATAAGTGACTTCACCTCTCTGGATGGACTTGCCTCTTTGTTTTTTCCTGCATTTTGAAAGTTACACTGATGATTGAGTCCATAAGTAAAGGCTTAAATCCATGTTTTCATTTGGATTTAGGAATCCTGTTTTATGGTACTCGGTGACCCTTTGTCTTGAAGTTAGAGACAGACTGATGGACAGTAACAGAATCAATTGCTTCTTTTAGTTCGGGATCATACAAAAATGCATGGTCTGGAACAGAGATGTGTAACTTCCTATTACATTACAGTTTTTTCCAACTATACCCAGCCTTTCAAAATTATCCTTTTATCCTTTGCATTTTCTCTTCAGAGTACTTCTTATAGAAAGCAGGGATGCTACCTTGCACAATTCTAGGGAGCACCATTCATATTGTGTTGTGGGGTGCTGTTCATGTAGAATATGATGTAAATGGTGCCCCTTTGTATAATGTGAATATCCTGATAGACTACCCCTTCAACCTCTGTCTTGTTGCTTCCTCTAGTTCTAATCACCATACACACAAAAATTCAAGTAACTCATAGAAACTTATTTAAATGGAGACAAAAGTTAGGACCTTTTTGACCCCGCCTCCTGAACAGAGTAGTGTCATGCATGCACGCCCACACTCACATGCCTTAAAAATGCTCAGCTTTTGGAGGTCCTTTAAGATATTTAGCACTGCCAAAATACGCATATTCCTGTGAGGGGTAGCACACATTATTATAGCTATTTTTACTTAAGTGTAAATGAGTTGCACATCGTTTTTGAAGAACAGAGCTAATGAGAGGGAGAGGAGGAAGAGCAGGTCTTTTGGGAAACTGAGGGCACTGCGCTTGTGTGGGTGGGCGAAGAGCAGGTCTTTTGGGAAACTGAGGGCACTGCGCTTGTGTGGGTGGGCAAAGAGCAGGAAGAATTGCTTGGGGGTCTGTCCAGTCATTTTACCTGGGCTAGTTGAGGATCACCCCAGCATTTATGGAAATATTTCTTGAACTTTCTGTTAAGGCCTTCCAGGTTGATCCCTTTTTAAAGTCCCTTTTGAAGGCTTTTCTTCTAAACCTGGCATTAGAAGTAATGTAAGGGGAAGGATGATAGGGAGAGAAAAGCAGTTCCTACATTCTGCCTCTCAGATTAGTTTAATCTGCCTTATTGGTGAAGTTAATGTTAATTTAAAATGTTCACTATGGATTTAAGAAATATCATTATAGTAAATTTTTTTTTTTGAGACAGAGTCTTACCCTGTTGTCCAGGCTAGGGTGCAGTTGTGCAGTCTTGGTTCGCTGCAACCTTTGCCTCCTGGTTTCAAGTGATTCTCCTGCCTCAGCCTCCCTGGTAGCTGGGATTAAAGGTGTCCACCACGAGGCCTGGCTAACTTTTGTATTTTTAATAGAGATGGGGTTTCACCGTGTTGGCCAGGCTGGTCTCAAACTCCTGACCTTGAGTGTTCTGCTGACATCAGCCTCCTAAAGTGCTGGGATTACAGGCATGAGCCACCATGCCTGGCTAATTTTTGTATTTTTAGTAGAGACGAGGTTTCACCATATTGGCCAGACTGGTCTTGAACTCCTGACTTCGTGATCCACCCATCTTGGCCTCCCAAAGTGGTAGGATTACAGGCGTGAGCCACCACATGTGACCCTAGGATATGTTCTTCAGTGAAAAGAACAAGGTGTAGGACAGTGTATATAGAAAAAGGGGACACATATACTCTGTTTGCTTGTGTCTGTATAGAAATCTTGGAAAGACCTACAAGAAATTAATCACAATGATGGTGTGTATGGGGATCCATAGGGAGGAGAGTGAGGCACAGGGATATGTTTGAGGCTTCTTAACCTATACCTTGTGTTCGTTTGTTTCTTTCAGCCATTTGAATTTATTATTTATTTAAAACCAAAATAAATCATCTCTTTTAAAAGGAGAAATAAAACGTACTGTTTCTTATTGTTGGCTGTCTTAAAAGTCTTTTGTTAGCCAATCAGCAGCCCTTGGGGCTGCTCTGCTCTCCATATTGGAGTAGTATGGAGTAACCATTCTTTTATTATTATTATTTTTAGCTCTTCTCTTTTAATTCAAAAAGATAAAATATCTTTGCATTTTCAAAATTTAACAAATCTAGTTAAATCAGCTATTAATATTTACTTATATAATGTAGTAATGCAAAATGTTAGCCTAATACAACTTCCAGAGTGCTACTGAGTGTTCCATTACTTTCTTAATAAACTTGCTTTCACTTACAAAGAGTCTTTTTTCCATCTGTTTACTACATTTGTTGAGTTTTCTGTATTCCAAAAAATTCAAATTGGGATTAGTAAACACTGTCATTTTGGTTAGACTGTATACTTTATTCACATATAAAAATGCTTACAATCTGCTTGGCTGGTTGCAGTGGCTCATGGCTATAACCCCCATACTTTGGGAGGCCCTAACAGGAGGATCACTTGAGTCCAGGAGGCCCAGGCAGGAGGGATCAGTTGAGCCCAGGAGTTTTTATTTTTATTTTTGAGACAGAGTCTTGCTCTGTTTCCCAGGTTGGAGTGCAGTGGCATGATCCTGGCTCACTGCAACCTCAGCATCCTGGTTCAAGTGATTCTCCTGCCTCAGCCTCCTTAGTAGCTGGGATTACTTGTGTGTACCACCACACCTAGCTAATTTTTGTATTTTTAGTAGAGATGGGGTTTCACCATGTTGGCCAGGCTGGTCTTGAACTCCTGACCTCAGGTAAGCCACCTGCCTTGGCCTCCCAAAGTGCTAGGATTACAGGCGTGAGCCACTGCATCTGGCCAAGCCCAGGAGTTTGAGACCAGCCTGGACAACTTAGTGAAGCCCTGTCTCTACAAAAATAAAAATTAGCTAGGCATGGTAGTGTGCGCCTGTAGTCTCAGCTGCTTGGGAGGTTCAGACAGGAGAGTTTGAGCCCAGGAGGTTGAGGTTGCAGTGAGCTGTGATTTCTCCATTGCGCTCCAGCCTGGGTGATAGAGTGAGACCCTGTCTAAAACAAAACAAAACAACAAAAACCCCAAATTACAGTTGTAATAATGACTATGGGTAACACCATAGGCTACCTCCAAAGGCACTTACATGCTTTGCTGGAAGTGTCTGAGCAATTTAAGAAAGTGTATAGGTTTGGTTTATGTTGTAAATGATGATGATTTGCCTTGTGAGTGTATTGATAACCAAGTGGCTCAAAACATTCATCATCTGGCCATATCTGAAAAAAGTAAACACTGTAATATGGAGTCATTTTCTGCCTTAAATTTAGTGTGGCATGTTCTTTCTAAGTATGGTAGAGCTCTAGTAATTTTTGATGTTTAATTTAGGGGAAAAGCTAAATCTTACTTTCATAGATTAGGCATAATTAAGCATGCAGAAAGACATATACCATTAGGCCTGTAATCCTAGCACTCTGGGAGGCCGAGGTGGGTGGATCACCTGAGGTACTAAATTCAAGACCTGCTTGACCAACATGGTGAAACCCTGTCTCTGCTAAAAACACAAGTGTGTGTAATCCCAGCTTTTCAGGAGGCTGAGGCAAGAGAATTGTCTGAACCTGGGTGGCGAAAGTTGCAGTGAGCTGAAATTTCACCACTGTACTCTAGCCTGGGCGAAAGAGTGCGACTCTGTCCTCCTCGCCCCCCAAAAAAGAAATATATCATTAGGATTTTCTCCTATCCTGAGACTTAGTTTTGAAGTTAAAATGTAAGTTTATATTAAGCAAATGCTGTAAACATTCTTTATAAAAAGCAAGATAAAATGGTGTATAAAAAAGTAAAAGAACAGTCTTTTTCAGGATTTCCCTACCCACCCCTTAAAATTTGATTACAGGAATGGGGAGCTTTAAAGTAAATAACATAATTTTTTTTTTTTAGTGTATGTGTTTTGGGTTTTTTTTTTTTTGAGATGGAGTCTTGCTCTGTCTCCCAGGCTGGAGCGCAATGGCATACTCTGGGCTCACTGCAACCTCCACCTCCCAGGTTCGAGCAATTCTCCTGCCTCAGCCTCCCAAGTAGCTGGGATTACAGATGTGCGCCACCATGCCTGGCTAGTTTTTGTGTTTTTTACTAGAGACTGGGTTTCACCATGTTAGGCTGGTCTGGAACTCCTGACCTCGTGATCTGTCTGCCTCAGCCTCCCAAAGTGCTGGGATTACAGACGTGAGCCACTGTGCCTGGCTGTGTTTTTGCTTTATGTTAATTTTGACATGTTTACTTCCATTTCCAAAGGCCCCAGTGGAGTACTGATGGGGATGGGACTTGGAACTGTTCTGGAACCTTTGTGTTGGCAGATGAGAATAAAGTTATGCTTTTGGTATATTTATGGTAAAAGCCTTTGAATTGAATTCTCAAGTGCTTTTAAGTATATCACTTTGAAATATGATCAATTAATCCTAATAGCCTGTAAATATAGAGCAACTCACTTAATTTAAGCCCTGGAACTTAGGCCATGTCTCTAGTCAGCTTGGTGAAACAGCAATGAGCCTCCATCTGTGCTAACAATAGACATATTCCAAGCAAAATGTAGGCTGATGATAACAGTGTTAAAACATTGTGGGTGGTAGGGGCTTCTGTTTACAGTTTACCTGAAATTTGAGTTGTAAGTTAACTGTTTTATTTGACAATGTTATTTTTATTTTATCTGAGACTTATTTTTGGTGCTTCTGTATTTTCTATAGCAAGCACAAATGGTTTCTAGGTAATTAACCTCACTGTGCTGAGCCTGGACAGAGCTAAGATCTTGTTACAGCAGCCTTTGGTTTTTGCCGGGGATACTTTGGTCATGCTAGCTGAATGCTGACTAAGAAAAGGGATAGAAATTATGAAGGAAAAAAAAGCCTTTAAATAAACTTACCCAGCAAGGTAAAAGGGCAGAAGTTGGCTCTTTAGGTCACTGTATATAGTATGTATCCTGGAGTTCTAACATCTAGTAAATAATGAAATTTTTATGCTTGAATAATATGAAATTAGAAATTTGATCAGCGGTTGATACTAATTTTTAACAGACATGAATGATTGCTCTGAGCCACGAAGATAATCTTGTTACCTAGAAAGGTACTTACTCTCCTTTCTTAACCAATTCTTCCTAGGTCATATTTTTGTTATAAAATGCAGCTAACAAAAGGACTTACTTTGTATTTATTTTAAGGATTAGTTTAAGAATGACTTCAACATTATATTTAAATGCTGTGATAAATTGATATCAAAAATGAAAGGCTATTTAAGAAGGTTTTTGTTTAATATTAGCATGACGTATATTACAGTAAGATAAATTTCACAGTGAAGAATTATTTTAATTAAAATGGTAAGGAAGTCTGAAGCTGTAAAAATTATCTGTTTGGTTATAATGCAGCCCATATAGTGATACCTTTTATGATCTTTTATATAAAAATTAAAATTGTGATAGTTTCTTGGCATTCTCTGCATCTATGCTCACAAAGTCAAATAAAAATAATTTTGAACTATTTTATCGTTCTAAAAAATATAACAAACTTTCTTGTAAGTAACTATTTTTTAGCAGCCAGTATCATTTGCACATAGAATCAGAAAGCTTTAATCTGGGAGTTGCTTTTGGTCTAGGTGTTTCTTTAAGAAAAATCCTTTGTTAAGACAGACCAAACTGCAGAAATGAAATTGCTCAGAGAAAATGAAATTAGCAAGTAACCAGTTAAAATAAAAAGGTATGGTTTACTCTAAGGTCTGGATATAGATGAGGTTCATGTAAAATGTAATGAATTTTCCATTAGGGCACAGATGGTAAGGGCGCTTATCAAATAGCACAAGGCAGTCTTCATATTTTCGTAATAAAATCCTACCAAGCTGTGAAACAAATACATTGCTTTTTTTTGGATATTTAGTAGGAGCAAAGCTTTCTGGTTGATTTTTCAGGGTAAAATATTTTCCTATTGCATCATAAGGACATGTACCACTAAATAAAAAAGATCATATAAACCTACCTCTTGTCTGAGAGGATGCTGTTGAAGCGATGGTATCGTCTGTTTGTAATGCAGTCTAGTGCACAGCCAAGATGGAGCTGTGCTTCTATTGGTCGAACCACAATGGAGCTGACAGTTTCCTCTGTGTTCATTTGCATTAAGTCTTGCCACCCTTAAGAGTAAATCATTCATAAACTTGAATAGAGCTGTCTGGGGTATCAACTGTCGTCCCTTCTCCTTTGTTTTTTGTTCTTAAGCTAAATTCCTGTATGGGAATTTGTGAGTTACTAACAAATTAATGATTCCTTAGTGTTTCATTATAAAATTTCAGATCCTTCAGTGAATTCTTCAGTGCTAGAGCTGAAAGATAATGTCGGGAGAGGTAGTAACCTAGGAAACAAACAGTCCAGGTTTGCCAGCCTGTTATTTCCTTCAGGAAGTGCGCATAAAATCTCATAAATTAATTTTTCTTTTCTTGTTCTTCCTTTTCTTTCATTACTTGTTCCATGTATAATTTTTGCCCTCTGGAAGTGATTATTTCCATGTGTATAATTTTTGCCCTCTGGAAGTGATTATTTCCATGTGTTAGTTTGATTTAGGAGGAATTATGAAGAAAAAGAATTGGTTTTCAGCTTGACAAGTTGGAAGAGAGCTCGTTTAGGTAAAACACACTACTTGCATTTAAAAAGTAGTCTCTGAAATGTAAATGGCAAAGTGATCTCCAAGTTGGCTGTTTAGAGACAGTATTTTTAGTTAGTGCGTATTATTTAGAATTGTGGTCTAAGCACAGCAGAATGAAGGTTTTTAATTACAGGAGTGGCTGTTACAACAGCAGCAGACTGGGTACCTGCTATATAGACTTGCTTTTTGAAATTATAGATGAAGGCCTGACATGGTGGCTCATACCTGTAATTCCAGCACTTTGGGAGGCCGAGGCGAGTGGATCATGAGGTCAGGAGTTCAAGACCAGCCTGGCCAAGTTGGTGAAACCCTGTCTCTACCAAAACTACAAAAATTAGCCAGGCGTGGTGGCAGGTACCTGTAATCCCAGCTACTTGGGAGGCTGAGGCAGGAGGGTCACTTGAACCCAGGTGGCAGAGGTTGTAGTAAGCTGAGATTGCACCATTGCACTCCAGCCTGGGCAACAAAATGAGACTCTGTCTCAAATAAATAAGTAAGTAAGTAAATAAATAAATAATAGATGAATTTGTCCATTAGTTTCTGGGGCCATAAAGGAATGCATGAAAATATCTGTCTTACAGTCATTAATTCAACAAATATTTGTTGAGTGTTTACTAAGCTTGGCATTGAGTTAGTAGTGGATGCTAGAGACATAAATAAGCACAACTGTGTGATTAATAATTGGCCATTTGTATGGTGTTTGTCCTTAACATATTGTCATCTCTTTTTCATAGTCTTCCCAGTTAGTTGTCTATACAGTAGTGTGGGGTAAGCTTAATATTATTTTACTAAATTTAAAAAAGAAAACATTAAATGTGCAGTCACAGATTTCTGTACTTTGACACAATGGCCGGTTTCAGATGGAATAATCTGTGTAAAGGCTGTTTAATGAGTTTTATCACAGGGTTCACAATGGATTTGAATCTGTACTCTGTCGCTTACTAGCCTCAATTTTATTATGTTTAAAAGGGTACAGTAATACTTCTTAAGTTGGAATTTTGGGAGGGATTACATATGAATATTTACCATGGTATTTAGCAGATAATAAATATTAGTTACTTTTATTATTACAAGTGTGCCAAATACCTTGAGAAAATGAACTACGGAGGTAATATTTCATAATTAAAATAGTGAATGGAAAAGCACCTGTAAGGTATTCTTAATGTTGTTGTTACTTTAGACTTCAGTGTGCGAATTGTCAAGATTGTAACAAAGTTAGTTTTAAAGGAAAATTGCATATGAAGTTTCGTTTTAGTCTCAAAAAAGCATACTCAATAAAGACTTCACTAATCTCAAAGGAGTATTATATTGCCATCCAGAAGCTGTTCCTTTGGATCTCTGACAAATGTTACATTTGACTTGTGGTTGTTCTAATGCAATCTTCTGTTTAAATTATTATTACCAAACTGGTGCCGGAGGTTGGCTCTCCCCTTCCCTTTTACTTAACCTCTCTCTTTGTGGATCAGCCACATGGGAACTTTATAATATCTGATCTCATGCCTTGCTAATAGAATGTGTATTTCTAAGATGTTTTTCTAGTATTTATGATGAATTTCTTACTGTTCCTGCATATGACTAATGGAATGCATTTGTGATGCATTGGTGTAGGGTTCCTGCCTGTAGGAATGCAACAAAATGATAGATGTTCTGAAACAAATGGTCTTTTTTATAGGTTTTTCCACACCAGATAGAGAAGGAGAGGAGGGATTTTCTGAAAGTGGGTAGGCAGTGGTGTGATGCCTTTTTTTTTTTTTTTAGATGGGAGTTTCGCTCGTTACCCAGGCTGGAGTGTAATGGCGCGATCTTGGCTCACCGCAACCTCCACCTCCTGGGTTCAGGCAATTCTCCTGCCTCAGCCTCCTGAGTAGCTGGGATTACAGGCACGCGCCACCTTGCCCAGCTAATTTTTTGTATTTTTAGTAGAGACGGGGTTTCACCATGTTGACCAGGATGGTCTCGATCTGTTTGACCTCATGATCCACCCACCTCGGTCTCCCAAAGTGCTGGGATTACAGGCTTGAGCCACCGTGCCCTGACTGTGATGCTTTTTAAAGTAAGCATCCATGTTCATGCAGTGGCAGTGTCTATGGCTTTTTACTTCTAATTTATCTGTAAAGCTTACTTTAAAATAATTGTGGTATCTTTTTTCCTATCAGTTTCCACTAATTAATTCCCATTTTTGGTCTTAAATTGGTAAGCAGAAATTGATCTAATAAGTGATACATTGAACTTTTCATCCCTCAGAAGTAATCCACTCCTTGTGTTAGCTTTATGGATGGGATTGAGGATTGTATTGTTCCCTTGTTAAATAAACTATACTTCTGATTATGTAGCGAGCCTAATCAGAATTAAGAATGAGATAACTATTTCTGAGGACTGAGAAGCAAAGAAAAAAATTTAAAAGTAAAAAGAAAAAACAAGATAAAGGGGAAGGAGGCCAGGTGCGGTGGCTCACACCTGTAACCACAGCACTTTGGGAGGCTGAGGTGGGTGAATCTCTTGAGCTTAGGAATTTGAAACCAGCCTGGAAAACATGACGAAGCTCATCTGTACAAAAAATACAAAAATTAGCCAGGCATGATGGCATGTGTCTGTAGTCTCAGGAGACTGGGGTGAGAGAATCACTGGAGCCTGGCAAGTCAAGGCTGCAGTGAGCTGCGATTGTACCATTGAGCTCCAGTCTGGGCAATGGGAATGCGACCCTGTCTCAAAAAAAAAAAAAAAAGAATGTAATAAAGATACCTTTTTTTGTTTTTGAGACAGTTTCTCTGTGTTGTCCAGGCTGGAGTGCGGTGGCGTGAACAATAAGGATACTTATTAAAAAACTGTGTTTTAGTGCTTTTATGTTATTTATATTTTGTTTCTACCCTCAGTGAGAAAATTGGTAGTTTAATGTATATACACAAAGATTCTGTATTTTTCACCAAAATTTTACAGGTTAGAATTTATTAGATGAAAAACTCAAGAAATATGTTACCAGCATTAAAATTACCTCAGCTGCTCAAGAGTCATAATCATATCTAATATGACGGTGTTACTGTTTTTTTGAACTTCATTTTCAGATCATAGCAATGGATCATTTAACTTGAAAGCTCTATCCGGAAGCTCTGGATATAAATTTGGTGTTCTTGCTAAGATTGTGAATTACATGAAGGTAAGTACGTTCCTCAAATAACAAAAGTCCTGTTTAACTTTTTGGCAAAAGAAGGGGATTAGGGTTTTCAGAAGTTAAATTTCTGTGTACATCAAAATTGTACATTTTTAATATGTGCCGTTTATTACATGCCAATTATACCTTAAGGCTTTTACATTATATTAATTTGGCATTGCAGCAAGTTACCAAAGTATATTTAATCTGCATTAACTCAAGCGTACAATTTCAGCCCACCACTTCACTTCATAAGAGTGTGCCTAGGCAGTAGACATAGCACCTCTTAATGAAATTCAGGCTGGTAAAGCCAATGGGAGGATGTGATTAATTTTTCAGGATATTACTTGCATTAATGTGAGAAGTAAAAATTACTAGTTTGGGCAGATGGTGGTGATGGCTTCTCTGCATCTCAGGGGAGTAAATTAGACATTTATTGAGAGTCTTAGAAGAACATTGACTCACAAAAGAATTAGAATTTAATGTTTGATGGAATATTTAGTATTTTTTAAATACTAAGTTTTGATCATATATGATTTTGGCTTTACTTTGAATCTTTTTTTTTTTTTTTTTGGGACAGCCTTGTTCTGTTGCCCAGGGTGGAGTGCAGTCGCACGATCAGAGTTCACAGCATCCTTGAACTCCTGTGGTCAACCGATCCTCCTGTCTTAGCCTCCCAAGTAACTGGGACTACAAGCATGCACCACAATACCTGGCTAATTTGCTTTTCTTTTCTTTTTTTCTTTTTCTTTCTTTTTTTTCTTTCAAACAGAGTCTCGCTCAGTTACCCAGTCTGGAGTGCAGTGGTGCGATCTTAGCTCACTGCAACCTTTACCTCCTGGGTTCAGGAGATTCTCCTGCCTCAGCCTCCCGACTAGCTGGGATTGCAGGTGCGTGCCACTACACCAGGCTAATTTTTTTTTTTTTTTTTTTTGAGACAGAGTCTCACTTTGTCACCAGGCGCCAGGCTGGAGTGCAGTGGTGTGACCTTGGCTCACTGCAGCCTCCGCCTCCCAGGTTCAAGCAATTCTTCTGCCACAGCCTCCAGAGTAGCTGGGACTACAGGGGCATGCCACCACGCCCAGCTAATTTTCGTATTTTTAGTAGAGTCGGGGTTTCACCATGTTGGCGAGGGTGGTTTTGATCTTTTGACCTCGTGATTTGCCTGCCTTGACCTCTCAGAGTGCTGGGATTACAGGCATGAGTCACTATGCCCGGCCAGTTTTTTGTATTTTTAGTGGAGATGGGGTTTCACTGTGTTAGCCAGGATGGTCTCAATCTCAGTATCTCGTGATCTGTCTGCCTCGGCATCCCAAAGTAGTGGGATTACAGGCATGAGCCACTGCGCCTGGCCATTTTTTTATTTTTAGAAGAGATGAAGTCTCACTGTGTTGCCCCAGGCTCGTCTCGAATTTGTAAGC